CCATGATCTTTTCGTTAACTGCATAGTGCGTGCTTTTGAATTCAGAGTTGCCCTTTTCTTAGACTGCTTGTTAACCATTACATCAGAAATTGCTCACCTACCTGGCTTAGCTAAGTGTGATAGGGTGCCGACACTGAAAAGATTTGGAACAGATCCACTTCCCAAAATCTGAATAAAGGACTAAACAAGAATTTTTTAAAACTCTTCTTGGCCATTTTCAGCCCCCCCATATTAGGTTGACCAAACAGTTTGTTTTATCTTTGTTAGAAATCTTTAAGAGTGTTTTGGGGAAGTAATGGTTATTGGCTCGGATTGAGGAATCGGAGAGCAGAGTTCGATTTCCAGTTAATTTCATTGCATTCACTTACGTCCTAATACCATCTATGCGTCAAGCAGCAGGACTGGGTTCTATAGCCTTGGGTGGCAATCGGTCTAGGACAATTCTGAATTCAAAACCGTATATAGATAACCCTTGCAAAGCACATACTATACAACTGATGAAAGGATCGTTACAATGGTTATGATCCCGACTGCAGTGTGGTGTGTATGTCACTGTAAAACATCGTCTCACTATATACAAGAGAGTTTTAATTAACACTGCTTAAAGTGGTCGCTTTCGATTATATTATGATATATCAGCAAGTATTTTTTCAATTTTGTTAAAATTAACATATTTTGTTGATTGATTTTAAAAAGAAAGAGGAAAGAAAATAAGCCACATTTTCAACATGTTATCCTTTTTTTATTCTAAGATAGGTAAACAAAAATAAGATATGAGCAGTTTATAACAAAGGTAAGGAGAATAACATCAAAAGTGCTTTGTAAAGTTTCCTTATAGAGATTTCCCAATGAATGTGTAGTGATACAGAAGGAATTATCTTCTTGTTGATAGGAAGAATGTAATGATGACATAAGGAGCCTTTGAGTATCATGTAACAGTTCATTGTGGAGAATAGTCAGTTGCTGCTTACCTTCCCAGGGATGAGGACGCATGTCCAATGCATTCGAAAGAAGAACTGAAGTGATACCACAGGGTTGTAGTGTGTCCCCTTTTTTGTCCATTCTTAATATTTCAAGAATTGCAAGAACAGCTTTTGGTGTAACTTGGGATTAAGTGCAAAAAAGAAGAAAACTTTAACTTAAGAAAAAACAAACAATCAATTTCTCATGGGCAAAGAACTGACAATAGGTTGGTTTGGTCATGAAGTTTATTCTGTTTTTGCTATTAGAATGTATTAAGCTAAAACTTTTGGTTCGAAAAGATCATTTTCGATTGGATTGTGGCAGTTGTTATAGCAACTTGCCTTTTTAAAGAAAAAACTAACAGAATTAGAATATTTTTGTTTCTCTAAAGAGAGGAGACAGCAACATTTCTGATAAATTATTATTTTTTTTAATTTTAAGACTTATATAAATTTAAGACCGGCCCATTAAAACTCATTATAAAAATAATAGTAATAATTTTAGAGTGTATATATGGTACAATGGGTCCCCACTTGGTTGCTTAGTACACCCACCTAGTCAAGTGGATTGTAAATGATTTTATTTTGGTATGAGACAACTGGCGGGTTATATAACCAGAAAAAAATCGAGATATGAGAGTCTCAAAGCAACCACTCGCTATACATAAATAACGAAAAGGAAATAAAATTAATAAACAATTAAAAAAACGATAAAAAAATATTGCATTCTTGCCATAATAGATGCTCTCTTGCAACTTGTTAAGAGTTCACCTGTGACAATTGTTGTTTGCATTTTTTAAAAATTGTCAAAATTATATTTTTGTTTATTGATTCTAACATTAAAAATAGAAAAAAATTAACTTTTTCAAGAATTTTTTTTAAAGAATGGTATAAATTTAAGAAATATGAATTAAAACCCATCGTAAAATAATGAAGAGTGTATCTGTGACACAATCAGTCCATACTTGTTTATTTAAGGCCATGGCCGGCTCAAGGTACTGGCAACGCAGGTAGTCGCCAGGGGCGCCATCAAAGCCGAGAGCGCCATCATACCTCCAGGTCATGTGTTTGGGATCTTCCAAAACTAAAGCTTATTAAAAAAACATCTCAAAAACATGACTCAAAACAGATTACATTCTTTGTCTATTTTGTTAACAGAAAATGACCATGTAAAGAAGATAGTTGTAGAAAATGCCATTAAGTGATTTTAGGTAGGATAAAGAATCTTTTCTTTAGCTTGTATTTAGTTGTAATAAACTCGTTACTCAACAGTTTCAGTTCTTCTCCTTGTAAAAATTAAAAAAAAAATATCCTTGTTAGGGCGCTGAAGTTTAGCTTGCCCGGGGTGCCAACAACACTTTTTATGACACCCATTTCATCAAGCAGACTGAAAATGATTTTATCAAATTCTGGAGTAACATGCATGTTTGATCAAAATTAACCTGTTTTTGTTTATCATTTTTAATAATGAAAGTAAGTAACATTTTTAACATAATTCATGATCCAAGGTTATATTATTGGCTCATACACAGATCACTTAAATCAATAAAAGCAGCACATATCTATGTTTTGATCCTCTCTAGTGAACTGATTCAAATATTGCATTCTTTCCACAATAGACACTCTCTTGCCTCTCGTTAGAATTGAGCTGGTCAAAAAATTTATTCTTTGTCATTGTGTGGTATCTGTTGGTCTTGAGAAACCTTGGATCTGCACCCAAAGAGTTATGCCTCAGCTGCTGATGGCGGTGCAGCATCTGTTATGGCTGTACAGGCCCACACAAGAGTGACATTCTCGAGTGCAATGAATGCACGTGAAGACGCTCTCCCCCGATGTTGTAGTGTTGTTTTCTTCCGTCAAGTACGATTCTCCACGGCAGCAAACCTTCGTTTCTCCTCTCTTCGCTCCATCCCTCGGTGTAAATCGCGTCTCCACTGAGAGCGATCGTTGGCGACGTCTTCCCACCTTTCGATGTCTTTGCCATTAGTTTGTATTAAAAGCATTTAGTTTTTACTAACTTAATTATCCTGTAAATAATAAATAAACAATCTAACAAATTAATAGTGTTTAATATTTTTATTCTCAACTCAAAAAAAATAGAAGAAATTTAACTCCAAATTTAACAGTTAACCGTCCTCTTAATACATCATTTTTTTTTTTTTGCATGTACATTTGTTAAACTTTGCCGTTAAATTATCCTTTGTAGCAAAAGAGATCTAAGCAAGCAGCATGAATAACCACTAACCATATTAATGGCTTAGCTTCATCCAAAAAAGATTAGGCTGTTTATATATGGGCAATTTTTTAATCATTTCACCCTAAACAAGGCGATAATGCCACAAAGATTCCAGGGGTTACTGAAAGAGAATGAAAAGACTTTAGTGTGCGACAATAAAAGAACAGGATTCAGAAAAACAGAAGACGGCGATTGGCGTTGCATTTAAATTTTTGAAGATCGTAAGCGGCAGGGAGGCAAGAAATTGGAAGAGTTCCACACGCGAGCAGGACAATAAAAGAAACTATAGGAAAGTCTGTAAAAAGGTAAGTACTTTAAATATAATAATAATATCGTTATTAATATAGTGGTGTCCAGAGGCGGCGCTAGGGTTTGCACACCCCCAACTTTGATACGCCACCCCACTTCTCTACTACATGTCGATTTCAAAGTTTCACAACCTGGGGGCTACAAACCATCGAAGGAAAATTGTCAGGTGTGTGTGTGTGTGTGGGGGGGGGGGTCAACACTTTTTTGATATTGATGACTGGCAATGTAACGTCAGTTTTTATTTTTTTAAATGCCAGATGGCCATAAAACAAAAAATGGCAGTGGCCACAACGGTGCCACCCAAAACACCCCCCCACTCATCGGGGATTTCGGAGGTAAGACACGCAGGCCCTGGTAGTGTCATAGATAGTCTTTAGATGTATACAGTGTAACCCGGATATAAGAGACCCGGATATAAGAGAAACCCAGATATAAGAGAAACCCGGATATAAGAGAAACCCGGATATAAGAGAAATTTTCTCTGGTCCCAAATTAGAGCCTGTGTTAATGTATATAAAATAGACCAAACCCGGATATAAGAGACTTCTCCGGTCCCGACAACTCTCTTATATCCGGGTTACACTGTACATGAAATAAGTTTTGGAGTAAAAGTTTGTAATAAACAAAAATACTTTTGATGCACCCTAACATGTAATAATAATCAGGGCCGATGCAAGGGTTTCGTAAAAAATAATCCATGATACGGGGCCACCCAATCTCTATGGCATCTCAATTTTCATAAGGTAGTATTTATATAAAATACAAATTTTATTGTAACCTAATTATGTACAATAATGAATCATATGCAATATAGGTGAACAATTCAACTAGAAAAATTGAAAATAAATACAATGTAACTAAGTACAAATTAGAGACATGTCATAATAGATCATTACATCTTAAATAAATCAACAATGTTTTGCGGCAATTTTTAACATCAATTTGAGATTTTTCTTGTTAAAAAGTTGAATAATTTTAACACATTTGGGATTATGGATATAAAAAATAGTGAATTTTATACAGTGGTTTTTTTCAAGACTTAGCATGAGCAAAAGAAATTTACAAATTTGAATTATTTTTACTAATGCCTTATCAAATTACAGTTGAAATGGCTAGATGCAACCGTAAGTTCTATGCTAAGAGTTTCTTTTTCTCACACTTCTCACTTGTTGAACTCTCTTCCGGTTCCATACTTTCCGGCCAACTTTAATCTTCAAAAATCTAAATGCAATATCAATCGGTATTTACTGCCTTCCTGATTACTCTTCTATTGTTCCAACTCATTCATAATGTTTTCTGTTTTTTAATTCTTTCACACCATTGTGTCTTAGTGGCTTTACTGCTTTGCTTGGGGTGAATTCGATTTTAAAAAAAAAGATACTACCAATCTCTTTAAACAGTTTGAACATCATTGAGAAATACAATAAATGAATTTTGAGAATTGGATCGCATAATTTTCCATCGGAAGCCTTCATTCACTGTGTGAGACTTAGATGTTATGTAATTAAAGTTTCGCATATAGATAATTTTCCTTAAGGTGGATCAAATATTTTAGAAGAATCAAGAAAAGAGTTCATATATTTAAGTAGCACCGAGGAAAGCTCATTAGAACGATTGGCATTTACAGAAAAGACATAGAGAAGCAACGTTGTGGCTGTCGGAAAGTGATGGTAGCCTGTGTAAAGAATAGTATTATTTGTTGTAATTTAACGAGTTATTAGGGAAGTTATTATGAGTGAAATCACAAATTAGACAAATGGAATTTAAATTAGAATTTAGATATTTATCGTTGTGGATATTTTTTCTAATGGTATCTTGATGATAAGATCTGAAACCAGAACATATTGTTAAATATGATAGTTTCGTTTTTTTTTTTGTTTTTTTTTAGTAGCAATGAAATTTTGTGACTCAGAAGTGTAGGTCACTTATGACAAGGACCGAAAGAATTGAATAAATCAGTTGAGTTTATGGTTATTCATTTTTATCACCTTTTTTTATCACACTCACAAACACTACATTAGTTTTAAATTCTCTTGGTTATTTTTTAATTATATATTTTTTGTTCTATGATTTTTATATTTTTCTTGCTTTTTCCTTTCCTTTCTTTTTTTTTTCGGACATTTTTAACTACTTTACATTTTATATTTTTCGTTTTTTTAATTACCCCTCCACGAATACATTTGTCTGTTTCTTAGCATTTTCTTTCTTTCTTTTTTTCTTTCTTTCTTTCTTTCTTATTCCTTTTCTCATCTTTCTTTCTTATATTCGTTTTCATTCTTTTTTTGTTATTCATCATGTTTTTCACCTCCCATCCACCCATCTTCTTTATTTCTCTTTCATTTTCTTTCTTTCTTTCTTTCTTTCTTTCTTTCTTTCTTTCTTTCTTTCTTTTCATTCTTTTATCATAGTCATTATTTTTTTACACCTTGAATCCATCAAATTTCTTTTTTTTCGTTCTCATTTCTTTTCTATTGTTTCTTTCTTTCGTTCGTTTTCATTCTTTTTCATATTCATCATTTTTCAACTTCCATCCATCTTTTTTCTTTCTTTTTCATTTTCTTTCTTTCTTTCTTTCTTTCTTTTTTCTTTCTTTCTTTTTCATTTTCTCAACATTCTTTCTTTTGTTCATTTTTGTTCTTTTTTCTTATTCATAATGTTTCATCATCCATCCATCCATCCATCCATCCATCTTTCGTTTTTATTCATTTCCGCATTTTCCTTCCTTCCTTCCTTCCTTCCTTCCTTCCTTCCTTCCTTCCTTCCTTCCTTTCATTTTTCTTATTTAATATTTTCTCGCTATCTATCTATCTATCTATCTATCTATCTATCTATCTATGTTATTCATAATTTTTCTTTCTTACTATTGCTCATTGCTCAATGCATACAAAGAAAACAACATATTTCACCTTTTATTTTCACTATATACATTAATAATACCAAGTTTATCGCTACTTACTGAGCCATTTAAATATTGAAAATTGTTCAAATATTACTACTTATAAATACTTATATTTTATGATTTTTAAAATTATCTTTAACTTACTGCCATGAAATGCCTCCACCTTCTAGAATAGATGTGCATACCGCTGATTCACTTGGGCTTGAAAGTGTGGAAGTTAACCGACCTCGCCTGAGGAAAAAAAAAGAACTTCGAGGAAACTATATCTCAAATTAATCTTAAACATTACATATTATTGGTAATTAATGCTGTTTCTCAACTTTTAAGTTAAAAACATATGAATAGAAACATAACACTAACATTTATCTTATTAAGAAGTAGAAAACAATGTGACACAAGTCCAAGTATCCAAATATACAGGGTGTTCCAAAAGTCTTGGGAACATTTTGACATTGAATATCTCGAAAAATATTAAGGATATAAAAACGTGACTGGCATATTCTGAAAGAATTTAATCTCAAGTTTTACATGGAATATTCAAAGATGTTCAATGTGAGTACCGTTGGTCACACAGCACACATCAAGCCGATAGTCCAATTCATGCCAAACACATTCCAGCATTGCAAAAATCACGACGAGCTGGTTTATCAATGTCCTACAACTATTGGGTTAACTGTAGTTTGTAAGGTATCACGTGCAGTTGTCTTTTTAAGACATGCCAAACAGTTTTTGTAGGAAACTGAAGTTTCTTACTGGCTCTTCTGATCGATTTACGGGGGCTCCGCTCGAAGGCAGTTCGAACTCGCTCAACCGTACCATCTGAAGTTGACGGGCGTCCCATTCTCACCTATCCTTCATGAATTTACGTTGCCATCTCAATATGGACTTCCTTTCTGGTGCCTCTTTTCAGAATTTTGTGCGAAATGCACGTTGAACAAGTGTAGTGTCCATGATTCAGTTTTTGCAAATTCAAGGACGCAAAACGCCTTTTCTGGTTGAGTGAACGCCATTACTGAAAAAATCATTAGCATTACAAAAAAACTTTTATCAATTTAGCTTTAAAATGGTACCAGTTTCATCTTACTACTATTTATAGTTCAACAGATATGAGGACTTGAAATGTGCCCAAGACTTCTGGAACATCCTGTATTTATAACTCATTTTGACCAACACAAAAACAAATTTAATTCACTAAGATTTTAGAATATACTAATTTCAGATGACCAAAACAAATAACTTGCCTTCACTAATGTGAAGGGTGATACTGAGGTCTGGACTGCACTATGTAGGCCAGGTTTGGTTCAAAGGCAGTGACTTTAGAAATTGGCTGGAAAAGGTCAAGGTCAGGGTCACACCACCAGGTGGTGGCCACACTGTGCTGCTGCCATCTTTTGGTAAAACATGAAACTGCATTTCTTAGGTGTGTACTTTAAAACTGTGATTGACAATATTGGCAGGTCGTAAGTGATACAGTCTATGACAGAGGATGAGGGCCATATGAAATTTGACTGCGGGCTGTAATTAGCCCTCCGGCCGAACTTTTGACATTCCTACTTTAATTGATTGATTGATTGATTCCCTTTTTTACGGCTTATCAACCCTTTTCAGATTATTTAAAGCAAGAAAACATTTTTAAATTGTAAGAATTTATTGGAGATAATAATGATTTAGTGATACTAGTCTTACTAATTAACCGATAACTTGGGGAGAAGATGTGAGTTCATACTTTGCCCAGGGGTATTTGCGCATAAATGAATATAGCGAACCCAAATGGGATTGGCACTGGGCACTCCGATTAACAATTTCGAGCCATTATCCATTAAACCACCGGCATATGCTATCTTAGAGCACCTGGTATTCCCAAGCAGTCACCCATCTAGGTACTGACCAGAATCGACGTTGCTTAACTTCGGTGATTATACGGGAACCGGCCTTTCAAAGTGATGAGGTCGTAAGCCATTACACCTTCAACACATCCAAGCTTACAGCACCTGGTATTCCCAAGCGGTCACCCATCTAGGTACTGACCAGGCTCGACGTTGCTTAACTTCGGTGATTATACGGGAACCGTCCTTTCAAAGTGATGAGGTCGTAAGCCATTACACCTTCAACACATCCAAGCTTACAGCACCTGGTATTACCAAGCGGTCACCCATCTAGGTACTGACCAGGCTCGACGTTGCTTAACTTCGGTGATTATACGGGAACCGTCCTTTCAACGTTATGAGGTCGTAAGCCATTACACCTTCAACACATCCAAGCTTACAGCACCTGGTATTCCCAAGCGGTCACCAATATAGATACTGACCAGGCTTGACGTTGCTTAACTTCGGTGATTATACGGGAACCGGCCTTTCAAAGTGATGAGGTCGTAAGCCATTACACCTTCAACACATCCAAGCTTACAGCACCTGGTATTACCAAGCGGTTACCTATCTAGGTACTGACCAGGCTCGACGTTGCTTAACTTCGCTAATCGTACGGGAACAGATAGTTTCATCAAGATATGGCCGTAAATCTATACCATTTTAAATCATTAAATAAAAAAACGAAAAAAAAAAAAACCCTAAAGAAAAGAAATAAAGTATAAGCAACCTAGTCTAATTACTTACTACCCGATATAAGGCTTGGAAGCCATTCAAGCAGAGGATTTATTTTAAATTGTTTATGAGAAAAGTTTTAAAACAAGTCTAAAAATTTACTAATATTGTGCAAAAGATGTTACTGATATTTTTCGTTTGTTTCTTTTTGCACAAAATCTAAAGCTATAGTTTCGTGATTGGAGTCACTCGTGTATTTCTTACCAGTGCTAAGAGTCGCTACTTGAGTCCATATAGAAGTCAAGAATATAATCGGGTAGTAGATGAAAACTAAGCAAAGTATTAAGAGACGGGAAAATTTCATAAAAACAAAGAAAATAAGGTTGAACTGTGAAGTAATATCAGTCCTCTCATATGGAAGTGAATGCTGGACAATCACCTCAAAGATGAAAAAGCCTGAAGCAATAGAAATGTCGTCCCACAGAAGGTTCTTGAGAATACCATTGACTGAATATATGAGTAACGAGGAAGGAAATGGGTACAGAAAGGACACTTTTACTTAGAATAAAAAAAGAGACAGTTGAAATTTCTATGACACATAATGAAGAAAGAAGGCTTAGGGAATTTGACACTCACAGGATATATTGAATGCAAGAGAAACAGAGAAAGCGGTGAACAACCTACCTAACGAGCTTGCGTAAATGGAAGGCAGGCCAGGATTTAGAAGAGATGACAAAAATACAAAATTTACGAAGAGCTACAAATCACAAGAAATTGTGGAGAGCCATGATCACTCACTTTCTGAAGGGACACGGCACATAGAAAAAGAAGAAGGTATTTTCCTTTTTACAGACTTTTCCTATAAAGCTTATTTCATGCACACATCTAAAGGTCATCTATGATTATTATCATTATTATTATTAATTGAGTGAGAGCAGCACATCAACAAAGTGGCGCTGGGGTACAATTATATAAAGACCAAATACACATTATGTCTGATAAGGGTATACCAAACACATGCGTCACAGCCAAATGTGCTTGATATGGTGAAATCTTTTGATAAATAAGCGACGCATAATTTTCAGGTGGGTCCCACATATCGGCAGTTAAGCTATAGAAGCGAAATCCATAGTACTTGCCTGAAAGTAGACCCAGTAACGTAAGATGCTTAACTATTTCGAAGTTGATTAGAGCTCCTAGTACTTTAATAAGACTAGACACTTTCACCTATCGTCCGGTTCACACTCCTCCTCGGTCTTTTGAACAGGTATAGAGATTTATTTCTTGTTTAGCTCTTTCTTCATTATGTGCCCTATAAATTGCCATTGTCTCTTTCTGATGTTAAATATAAGTGTTCTTTTTGTTTCCATTTATTCTAAAACGTCCTCATTGCTCACATGTTCAGTCCATGGTATTCCTAACATCATTCTTTAAAACCACATTTCTGAAGATTCAAGTCTCTTCTTCATATGTGTGGATAATGTCCAGCATTCACTGGCATATAGGAGGACTATTACATATAAGTTCAGTACACCTACATAGCGAGTTTGAGTAAATGGATGACGGGAAAGGATTTAGGAGAAATAACAAAAAGACAAAAATTATTAAGAGCTACAACGAA